GTGTTAACAGGCATGAAAAGAACATTAATCTCCTTGTACATCTCCATCAGAGATCTTGGGTGACCAGAGCTGTTGCCAATGAGCTCTAATAGTTTGAAAGGAATCTGTTTTTTTTTTTCTTTGTTTGTTTTTGAATAGTAGTGTTCAATAGTGAGCTTAAAATATTCAGCTAACCATTCTGTAAACAGATGTGCTATCATCTAAGCTTTGTTACTCCATTTATAGAGCACAGGCTGAGTAGATGCAGCATAATTCTTAAGGGCCCTAGGATTTTTGAAAGGGTAAGTGACCACTGGCTTCAGCAAAGTCACCAGTTGCATTAGTCCCTAACGAGAGTCAGCCTGTCCTTTGAGGGTAGGCATGGACATCGCCTCTCTAGCAAAGAATGTCCTAGATAGCATCTTCTTCCAATATAAAGAAGAAGTTTTAATCTTCTTTATATTGTTTAATCTACCCTGAAAATTAGCCATTTAGTGTAGCCACTTTCATCTATTATCTTAGCTAGCTTTCTGAATAATTTGTTGCAGCTTCTACATCAGCATTGTTACTTCTTCTTAGACTTTTATGTCACTGAAATAGTATATTTTTTAAAAACTCATGAACCAACCTCTGATCATTTCAAACTTTGTTTCCCCACCTTCTTCACTTCTCTCAGCCTTTATCGAACTGAAGAGTTGGGGCCTTGCTCAATTAGCCTTTGGTTTAAGAAAATGTTGTGTCTGGTTTGATCTCCTATTTAGAACACTATAACTTTCTTCATATCAGCATTAAGGCTTCTTATATTATTTGTGTATTCACTGGAGGGACACTTTTAATTTTTTTCAAAAGCTTTCTATTTGCATTCATAACTAGGCTAGCTGTTTGGTGCAAGAGGCCTAGCTTTGTCCTATTTTCGCTTTTGATATGCTTTTCTCACAAAGCTTAATAATTCTGTTTTGATTTAAAGTCACACACTTGTGACTTTTCCTTCCACTTGAATACTTAAAGGTCACTGTAGGGTTATTAACTGGCCTAATTTTAATATTGGTCTGCTGCGGGAAATAGGGAGGTGTGGGGAGAGAGAGAACCAACTGGGGGAATGGCTAGTTGGTGGAGCAGTGAGAATATGCACAGTTCACTGCCTAATATGGGTGCAGTTCCTGGGTTCCCAAAACAATTACAATGGTAGCAGCAAAGATCATTGATCACGGATCACCATAACAAATATAATAATAATGAAAAAGTTTGAAATGCTACCAGAGTTATCAAAATGTGACACAGAGACATAATGAGCACAAGCTGTTGGAATAATTCTGCCATTAGACTTACTTGACACAGGATTGCCACAGAACGTCAATGTGTCGAAAACACAGTGTCTGTGAAGTACAACAAAGTGAAGTGTAATAAAATAAAAGGAGGTGTGCCTGTAAAGGGCTTGGGAATTACATGAACACAGGCCAAAGAAAATGGAAATCTTTAGAAACAGATTAGAATAAGTGGGTAGATATTGCTATAACTTAATTGGGTGTCTCTTCTAAAACTCATGTAAAAATTCAGCTGTCATTGTAACAGTGTTAAAAAGTGGTACCTTGAAGGGGTGATTAGGCCATGAAGGCTTTGCCCTTATGGGTGAAACTAATACAACTGTAAAAAGGCAAGTTAGGACCCTTCTTTCTCTCTTGCTTTCTTGCCATGTGTTGACACAGCAAGAAGGCTCTCACCAGATGCCTGTGCTTTGATTCTGGGCTTCCAGCCCCAAGAATTGTGAGAAATTACTGTTTCATTCTTTTTATAAATTATCCAATCTCAGGTATTCCGTTAGAAGAGCAGAAAATTAAGATGTTGGGGCAAGTTGAGCCTAAGGAACAAAGGCAGAGATGATGCTGTTTAAGTCAGAAATAACTTCAGGAAAATATTACCATGTTCTAGGTAAGTTCTTTATTATTATTATTATTATACTTTAAGTTCTAGGGTACATGTGCACAACGTGCAGGTTTGTTACATACGTTTACATGTGCCATGTTGGTGTACTGCACCCATTAACTCGTCATTTACATTAGGTATGTCTCTTAATGCTATCCTTCCCCCTCCCCCTCCCACTACCCCATGACAGGCCCCAGTGTGTGATGTTCTCCTTCCTGTGTCCGAATGATCTTAGATCTAGGGAAGTTCTTGATGAGGAAAGTTGAAAAGGTTCATTTACTTTCTCGAGGCTCACTCAGGCATTACTACTTTGTTTTTAAGACACTCTGATTATGAATGGAGAGACTCATTCCTTTTAGATGTTAAGGATTCAATAAATAGCCTCCACAGTTCAGATTTCTTCACTAAATGAATTTTTTTTTTTTTTTTTTTTGAGATGGAGTCTCGCTCTGTTGCCAGGCTGGAGTACATACAATGGTGCAAATCTCAGCTCACTGCAACCTCTGCCCCCCAGGTTCAAGCGATTCTCCTTCCTCAGCCTCCCGAATAGCTGGGACAATAGGTTTGCGTCACTATGCTCAGCTAATTTTTTACTTTTAGTAGAGACAGGGTTTCACCATGTTGGCCAGGATTGTCTCGATCTCTTGACCTCGTGAACCGCCCACCTCAGCCTCCCACGGTGCTGGGATTACAGGAGTGAGCCACGGCACCTGGCCTAAATGAATCTTTTTTAAAGACTACATTTTTCTGACTCCCTTGGGCTTTCACAAGATTTATACAACCTCTATGGCCCTGACTGAGATGATGGTGGTGGGATCTTGAACCCTTCTCACACAATAGTTCTGTTTCTGGCGATCCCATCTCCATTAAACAATGACTATGTGAATTAAAGAGGGTGCTAGTAAAAACTGAGCAAAGTCTGAATTGCTAAGTATTTTCTTTTCTTTAACCTTGTGTGTTATGCTGTCTGGAGCAGATGGTCAGATGACTGGTACCTTCTCACAAAGTTACTAATCATTATCACTGTGTCCTTTGAAGTGTCACTTTCATCCTGTTTATTTCCTTTTTCTTCTCTCTTCATGTATATTTTTATTTCATGTATGACAAAAATCCCTGATATTCTTTTATGGTTTTTTTTTTACTTGCTATGGAAATCTTTCTTGATATGAAAAGAAAAAAAAAAGTAATTAAGAGCCTGTGAAGTATGAAGTGACTAATGAACTGTTAAACTCAACAACTGGTGTCTTTAAAATTCTGGAGGCATGAAATGTGTATTGTTCTCATCAGTAGTCATACTCGTGCAATTACAACTTTTAAAAATTAAGACACTCAGGGCAAGCTTCCATCGTATGACACTGAAGGAAACAGCCACTAAGATGCTTATTCTGCTACTCGTGTTACACATAAAATATAAAGGTGATTTATTTAATTAAATGATACCAAATCAACGCTGATTCATAAATAAAACTGGTAATTTATGGATGCTTCTTGACTCTTCTACTAACCTGTCAAGTCGGCTCTTTAAAGTGCTGTATTTGGTGCTGTACCTTTTATTCTACACATTTTTATCCTCTTTAGTTCCTCTGTTAGAACATCTGTTGAGTAATGTACGTGCAAGATCCACTGCTAGCAAAATTTACATGTTCCGTTGCAGTAGAATATTCTAAAAAAATGGCAAGTCAGACATGCAATGGCATTTTAAAGGGAAAATGCAGTGAATTTAGAAAGAAATGCTCAATGTGCAGGACTAAAGTATATATGCTGGAAAGCGTAAGAGAGAGTGGACAACAGAGAACACACTCCATGTTGTAAGACCAACGAGAAGATATTTTGAGTATAAGAACTGTACCTTCTCCTGAGCAAATACTAATTTGTCAAATCCTATCATTTAATATTCTCCCTGATTTTTACAATAGGAATGATATGCCTGCATAGTTTTAGATTTAAATTCATGTGTCTATCAGTAATATACATTACTGTTATTTACAGATATGGTGCTGTATTTAACTTTCCATATGGAATTCAAAAAAAGTCTATGTATCATTTTAAATAAAGATATTTTATTGTGAAAACTTTGGTCTATGAACCTTCATGATAAAATTGCAAACACTCTATGAAGCATAAATTCTAAAGTATCTTTTATAAAATCCTCAATCAATAAATCACAGTAAATGCTACAAATTGGCAAAGCATAACTGTGGCTTCTATGTGATTGGCATCCATTCCACTTTTACAAGCTAGATATGCTGTGTCGATGATGCAATGAGATACACAGTAGTTTTTTTTTTAATCCACACAAATATTAACATGTCGAGCTTGAATTACAGTTTGAAAATAATTCAATTCACACAGGTAGTATGACTACTTAACAAAACAAATTTAAATGTGAATAATTTATTCTTTAGAAGTGGTTTAGAGCATAATTGAAGTCATGTTTTATTGCATTGATTTCCACCTTTGAAAAATTATCTATCAAATTGTAATGAGTCACAATTTTAATAAGAACATTAGAAATGAATAACAACTGGTAAAAATGCATGTAAATTGTTATTGTTTTCAAAATCAAGAACATAAAGACAAATTAGGGATTATCAACTTACTTAAATGCTATGAAACATTTAACTTGAAAATCAACTTGTACACAGAATGTATCTATCATTCTTAACCTGAAATGCTTAGTAAAGTAGATTAGTTTAGAAAATTAATAATAGCTTTTCTAATTATCTAATTTAATAAGTGTATACAAATTTTTATAGGAAGATATATCAGACCTTTTTATCTTTTGGATTGCCTTAAAATATGTATGTTGTTACTTTTATTTTATAAAAATAAAAAAAATCTACTGGATATTTAGCAGTCTTCTAATTTATTTTTTGTCAATGAACAAAAGCCACCATCCTAGAAGTACTGATAATCTGATCCCAAACTGGTTTTCTTTTTCCCAATAATGTATGATTTAAAATCAACATACATTATTGTAGAAGTTGAAGCTATATTGATATTTTCAGGGAGACTTGTGAACTGAGTTGGGAGAAAAAATAAAAGAAAAAGATTAAAAATCAAAATGTGCATCAACATTTGTAAAAAGACTGTAACTGGGGAGTGGGAAGATTTTCCGTGCTGTGGGCTAACAATGGACACCCAGAAGGACGTTCAACCTCCAAAGCAACAACCAATGATATATATCTGTGGAGAATGTCACACAGAAAATGAAATAAAATCTAGGGATCCAATCAGATGCAGAGAATGTGGATACAGAATAATGTACAAGAAAAGGACTAAAAGATTGGTTGTTTTTGATGCTCGATGAAACCTGGGAATTCAGAGGAGTGTCTTCACTTATACTTGGATTTGCTGTCTTAACGTTTCTGATTGTTGTATTTCGATTTTACATACAGTAGTTCTCTCTTTGGGGGATACATTCCAAGGCCCCCAGTGAACTCCAGAAACCTCAGATAGTACCAAACCTTTATACATGGTTTTTTCTATATATACTATGATATATATGTGAGATATATATATATATGATAAAGTATAATGTATAAATTAAGCACAGCAAGAGATTAATAACAATGTAATAGGACAATGATAACATACTGTAATAAAAGTTATGTGAATGTCGTTGGTCTCTCTTGCTCTCAAAATATCTTCTTTTACAGTACTCACCTATTTTAGAATGTGGTTGACTACAGGTAACTGAAACCACAGAAAGGGAAACTTCGGATGAGGGGGGCACTACTGTACTTAGGAATACAACTATATATACACATGATTTTATCTTTAAGACCATATTGTATTTGGGTATCTACTAATATTCTGTATAAAGCAATTTTTTGTTCCATTACATTACTTTTTGTTTTATTGTATATGTAATCTGACACACAATAAAGGGCAAAGTTGCTTCCCCAAACCATACTTTTAATCAAAACCTAGAATCATCTGCAGTCCTTGTTAAAAATGCAGGTTTCTAGAACCCTCTGAAGTTCTGATTAAATAAATTTATTGGAAACCAAAAACAAACAAACAAAACAAAACAAAACAAAAGACTGTAACTGAAAAAGATGGACAGTAAGAGGTTAAGAAATCATTTAAAAAGAGGCAGCTGTCAAGTGGGCTTGATCGAGGCATCAAGCATTACAACAGAAAAAAGGAGAGATCCAGGGAAGGCAGGCAGTATTTTTTGAATAGCTATATTGGATTTGAATGAGGTCTCAGGTTTCCATGATTCTTAGCTAAATCAGTATTCATATATGCTACCTGATAGAAAAATTATATATATTTTTTCCAATTTGTATCTGAATTTTGGCATTTTCACTTCTGTTCTATGCTGGACAAATTTCAAACAAATGTTCCAAAGTAAAATAAGTGAATTCCTTTAACTTCCAGTGCTTTCAAATCTTTAAATGAATTAAAGATCCATGGAAGTTTAGCAGTAGACATTCCTCTCTACATAGGGAAACCAAATCTGGGATACATTTACTCAACCATGGCTCTCTATTAAATCTTGTTAATCTATGAGAAATTGATCTTTACTCTTTCTGAGACTATATTCTCCCCCATGAAAAGAGGAGGGGAAACAGACTACTCTCCTTAGTATGTCATTCCCAGTGTATGGGATATTTGAAAAAATAATTTCTTATTCACATCTTCCATGTAAATTAATCTCCTTTCCTTTTGTATTTTATTGTTCAGTTTATAAAATATTATTGAAAATTTGTTTTTTTCCATATTAACAACAAAAATATCAGTCAGTGCAATTTTTTCCAAATAATTTCTTTGTTAATTGAGATAAAATTTATTTTTTTACCTTTCACACTATGCTCCAAATTAAGCTTAAATTTTATCAGTATGGTTTTAATTCTATCAAGATGATCTTTTCACAAATCTTTATTGGTTTGATCTCTTTCTCTTCATTCATTTATACTTTATACAAAAGTCAATTTAATACAAATTAGTTATTAATATTAGAATAAATACATTTAGATTTAATTCAATGAAGATAGTTTATGTTTAACTGCCATTTTGAATTACTTACAGAACTCTTTTCCACCAAAATATCATAACACATTCAAATGCTACATTAACAAGCTAAAAACTTATAAAGTTACCTTTCATTCACCAAGAATGCACATAACTAAGAACATAGCAACCTAATAGTCAAAATCTGAGTAGGTTCAGGAGAGTTACTCATGTAAATATGTGTTACTGTGGAGCAAAATGGTGAAGAACCACGAACCATATTCCTTGGCTCTTGGGCTGCTTCATCCATCTTCAAAGAAAGCAGAATCACTATCTTTTAACTTTAACACAGTTATAACACATTTCTTTGCCACAGGAAAGGTTTTTTAAAGATTCATGATTAGGCCTACCTTGATAATCCAGAATAATGTCCTCATTACAAGGTCTTTCACCTTAGTCACATCTGCAAAATTCCCCTTGTCACCTAAAAAACCATATTCACAGGTTCTAGGGGATAAATAGACAGATGTCTTTGGGTGGCCGATTTTCTTCCTACTCCAGTGGAATATATCAAATATATGTTTATGTAGAATTATCTGAAGGTGATTTGATACATGAATCATTTCAAAAACCAAAAACAAATTGTTGAAAATGCTATAACATACACTTTAGAATAAATTAATGTTCTATTTGGTCTACATTAAATACATTTTATTTTAGCTTTATAAATTCTATGGACTGTGTGATTATATAGGGCAATCTTACAGTGTCATCACATATAAAATGAATTAAATCTGTAAAATATATAGTCAATTAAAATTTTATTGCTTATTTCCATCTTTTATCATTTATTAAAGAAAATTCAATTCAATACTTCTGACTCATAATAATCTTATCTACCCTTGTTTCTATTTTCTTCAACATGAATGTATCATATACCCTATGAAACTCCTCCTTCACCAGTTTACCCCCAAAGCAGAATGAATTTCTTTCTGTTCCAACCTATTAGATTTTACTCTCTCCTCTAGATCTTTATTATGTATGTTAACCATCTCTTTTAAAAATTATAAATCTCTTCCTCTCCCAGGTTATATACTTTTCCTGTCCACTAAATATTACCACAAAAATGTAAACACTTTTTGAAGGAGGGTAGAGATAAAAGTAGAAGAGATTCAGTTGGTTAGGTAGACTGATAATTACAGCATCCTCTTCAGTCCACTGATACAAACTGACAGGAGATATTTGTGGCTCTTTTTATGTTAATTTATTCTTGTAATTTTATCTCATATGATGAACTAGGTTTAGTACTTTTGGGCCAAGGAAATAATGACAGTCCTTCTCAGGTGGCTCACATAATAGTTCCCATTTTGCCAATTCTTTCTTCTCTAGGTCCCATATTGAAAATTGCCTTTTCTTGCTGCATCAGAATGTGGTTTTTGGAAAGTTTAAATTAAATTCATTGGAAAACCTCTCAGTCTTTGCTGCAACATATTTTTCTTTTTCTCATTTTACTTTTGTTTCTTTGTACAATAATGTTGTATTTCTCTTCTGAGCTCAGAATTCATAATTCTGCTTAGTGCTTTTTGGTGACTGTCACATTTTATATTAAAATGCCAGCCTCTATTAGCTGTTTTCTTCACTTTATGGTGAAAAACGGAACCTGAAAGCATTTATTTTGAAGAAAAAGTCCTTACTGCCCAGAATACAGAGAAGAATGAGCATTCTGGTTAAAAACAGGTACAATTTTTTATGAAACATCATATATACTGCCTATATAGCAGTTCTTAAAGAGAAGCTCACATTATTTTATCTTTGATATGCTATTTAATGTTGCAAAAAAGGGACTGTGAGACTATAGCAATTGTTTTGGAAGAATAATGTAAAAAGCTAGAAAAAATGGAACATCTCTAAAGTAGGGGAAGAAGAAAATGAGTACATGCAGTCATGAAGATAAATAGCATATAGGAAAATACCCTAGCACACAGACATGATAAAGGATTTTACCGTAGATGATAGATAGATATATAGATAGATAATCCCAACTAAATATTTCCTGACAACTCTGACTACTGAAAAAGCCAAATGAATTATCATTCATTTAATAAAGAGCCTTTGACTAGCTCTTGACAATCTACAGGAACCAGTTATTTTGTTAGAAATTCAAAGGAGAAAAATAAAATGATTTGGATACATGTCCTAGTTTAGAAACATAATGTATTAAAATGGGATGAGTACACATGATGATTTAGAGTGGGTTAATATTATAGGAGTCTAGAGTAGGAAGAAATTTTACCGAGGGAAATCAATAAAAGCCACCTAAAGATTTCAAACAAAAGGACTAATACATCTTAAAGTAGAGAGAAAGCAAGTTAGATGGCAAGAAAACCAGAGGGGAAAAGGTGGTAATAATAAAGACAGAGAACTTACCTGCAAATATGGATAAGGGGTGTCTATGAGAATACCTCAGGCTGTAGTAACAGAACCATATGTAAATGAACCTAAACAATAAGGGAACATATCATTTCACATAACAAGAAGTCCAGAGGTAAGTAGACCTCAGTGAGAAGAATTTAGTGTTTCAGATGTATTTCTATGCAATTCTCTCAGTTTTGTTCTTATCAAGATGTTAGATTTGTCCTCAAGTGGAGCTTCTTCATGGCAAAAAGATGGCAGCTATCAGCACCTAGGACAGTTATTTGTCTTTGGAAGAAATGGAGTGGGAAATGCCACAATCAACCATAAAAAACAAACTCTTCTTTCTAGTCCTGTTGGCTCAATTTACATCCCTTGACTTCCCAAAGCTAGTGACTGTTTCAGAGGGACTCCCACGCTGATTTTCAACCATGCTTTGAAGACAGGAAAAAAGATAAGCGCTTGATTAAAAGTGGATTTTTGGCCGAGCATGGTGGCTCACACCTGTAATCTCAGTACTTCTGGAGGCTGAGGTGGGTGGATCACCTGAGGTAAGGAGTTTGAGACCAGCCTGGACAACATGGAGAAACCCATCTCTACTAAAAATACAAAAATTAGCTGGGCGTGGTGGCACGCGCCTGTAAGCTCAGCTACTCATGAGGCTGAGGCGGGAGAATCACACCTAGATTGTGCCAATGCGCACCAGGCTGGGCAATAGAGTGACAATCTGTCTCAATTTAAAAAAGTAAATAATAATAAGTGAATAAAAATAAAAGTGGAGTTTTGTCTAAAAGGAGGTTTCACAGGTGTAGGGCACAAACATTGACTTCATTCAGCATAATTTTTAGCCACTATATGCTAATTCAAAAACAACAAGAATAATAGATCGTATGTATTCTCAAATACTACAGAATGACACAAACAGAGTGGGACTACAAGATTTTAGCGTAGCCATAGGTTATAAGATGAACTGGAGTTGGTAAGGTAAGGAGAACCTGAGGCAGAAAGTGAAACATTGAAGCAGTGATGAAGGAAACAGAATTAGCCAAGTGTCTATGAACATGGCGACAATAAAGAAAATATAAGATACTATTTGGAAAACAATGTGAGGATTTTGAAGCCAGTTAGATTTAAGGGCAAGGGGAAGTATGTTATGTTTGACCGGACAATGATGCAGTTATCAAAGAGGTACCATGCAAACAAGAGGCTTTTGAGCAGCAGGGAGGTTGGTGAGTTTAGCTTTAGCTTGCTGATTTAAAGGAATGAAAGGATCTTCTGTTAGAGTAATCCCACAAACTCATGGAAAATAAAGAATAAAAACAATTTAAGGATGAAAGTGCATCAGACCAGGATGGTTTTGAAAGAAAATCTGAAACCTTGAATAGTGAAAAGGAGAAAATAGAGTTTTCTGAATGAGAAATAGCTTATAACAGATTTATTCAATATGTTCCTTAGTACTCTTCTTAGTGGTGACATAAGATGTATATGACATCCACATAAACATATATACATAGTCCTATACAGAATGTTAACATATCGCATATAAATATGTATGTTTTGTCCTACGTATATAGGTTTTATGCTATGTAAATATATGTTTCATGCTAAGAAAACATGTTTTATGTTATATAAGTATATATATGTT